GGCAGTTAGTTTTAATAATACGATTGAGGTTACGAAGATGTTTTCACAACAGTTTTTGCTTACTTGATGACATTGAATAAAGAGGCTCAGCTTATGTATATTACCCTTATTCTCGTTGTTATTGGGGTTATCATTGCCAGACAGGATGAACTAAGTTTTCATCTATTTGGTTTATCATGTTCTTTCATCTTCAACAGTAAGAATTCCATGAACCTCCTTCTGTACATGGATCCTATAGCTGATGTGTTTCTACTTCTTACAACGCTCATTATGGAAGAAAACGTGATCGGTATCACACTTTGCCCTTGCCTAAGATGATATCAAGATCAACTGGTATCTCTTATTCAATTCAACATTAACATATTTTGTGAATTTGACCAACTTTTTGGGTCATGAAACATTCCAGCATCCCATTTGTATTTCCATTAAGTTTTGTTCTCAATTGGTCTGGTGACATCATACAAAAGCTTTGAACACTATGAAAGAGCTTCACTGATGAGAAATCTGTGCAGAAGCCACATGAGATGATGAATGTATTGTCAAATGTTATACTAGCATCTGAGCAGAAACCACATAAGATGATGAATGAATTGCCAAATATTTTACAAACCAGTTATTCTGATGCTGAACCAATACTGCGATCATATGGTGTTTCCATTTATTGATCCAAGATAAGGTTTGTCTTCTTCAACCCCAAAGTCAAAAGTGAGATATGATGAAGATTTCTTTCCACAGAAAGGAAGCAGAAATTTTAACAACAAGAAACTAGTGGAGCCAACTAAGGTTAAACGACAGGTTGTTGTTAAGCATCTCGACATGATATGGTCCAAGTTGCCTTTGTTCGAGATCCAATTAGATATGGAGACATGAAAGGAATTAGGATAAATCCTCCTTGTGATGTGTTTCAATAGTCAAATCAGAACAGACTCTACTCTCCTAATTAATTTGTTGAATTTGGCATATCTACATCTACATTCTTCAAATATGGTAGATTCTTTTCAAAGATGATAGATTCTCTTTTCAAAGATGAAAGCTTTATTGGATTTCTACACAAGTTCAGACGAGGAAAGTCGATGTTATCAAAGACAAAAATGGGGGCATCAAGGTCATAATTCTTATTACGGCAAGAGTTCTATAAATAAAACATTTTTTATGAGACTTTAATTCAAATGAAGAAGACACAAAGATGCAAGTTGATCATATGATTCTTCAGAGATGCAATCTTGATAGCATAAGTTGCTACATTGATATATGCAGAAAACCTTGTAAAGGAATGATTAAGTGAAAGAAGACCGAGTTCGCCACTTTGAAGTCACATAAAGATTGCATCAACATTTATGCATTCATAAGAACATCATTTGCACAATAGACAATGCATTACATTGATACATTTGATTGCATTCAAATATAAAGTTTTACAGATCTTCGTATGAAAAAAAAGAATATTTATGATGAAAAATACCTTACAATAAGAAGGTAGAATTCAAAACCTCAAATATAAAAATCACGCAAACATATGAAGAAGAGATGGACGCAATCCACAAGAATGAGCATTATCTTGAGATTGGGGCATGATACCCAATCAACATGTTATTTTGAAAAATAATGAGAAAACGCTTTCCAAAGTCTCTCATTTAATCTTTTTTGAAAATGAAATTGTTGAATAGTAAGAAAACGTTTTTCAAAGTTTCTTACTTAGTAAACTATTTCCCACATCTGTAAGCCCTTCAGTGCATGATGTTTTCAAAGCCTTTTGGTCATTTGTAAGTCCTTCAGTGCATGATGTTTTCAAAACCTTCGGGTCATCTGTAAGCCCTTCAGTGCATGATATTTTCAAAACCTTCGGGTTATCTGTAAGCCTTTCAGTGCATGATGTTTTCAAAGCCTTCGGGTCATCTATAAGCCCTTCAGCGCATGATGTTTTCAAAACCTTCGGGTCATTTGTAAGCCCTTCAGTGCATGATGTTTTCAAAACCTTCGGGTCATCTGTAAGCCTTTCAGTGCATGATGTTTTCAAAACCTTCGGGTCATCTGTAAGCCCTTCAGTGCATGATGTTTTCAAAACCTTCGGGTCATCTGTAAGCCCTTCAGTGCATGATGTTTTCAAATCCTTCGGGCCATCTGTAAGACCTTCAGTGCATGATGTTTTCAAAACCTTCGGGTCATCTGTAAGACCTTCAGTGCATGATGTTTTCAAAGCCTTCGGGTCATCTGTAAGACCTTCAGTGCAGGATGCTTTTAAAGTCCTTCAAGTCATCCATAAGACCTTCAGTACAGGATGTTTTCAAATGAGATTTTAGAAACTAAGCCTTCAGGGGTTTCTTGATTTGAATTCCAGAGATCATCAAAGATTCAAATCCATTACTCGATGCATCAATTTCCAGAAGGAGTTCATAATAAGAACTTATAACTCAGAAGTTTGAACATTTCAAGTTAAAAATGGTGCTTTATGTCTTTGCTCCATTCATGTTCCATAGCAACGAACAAAGAGGGGCAGCTGTAATCACCATTTTTACCTCCCTATTCCAGTAGCTCCACGTTTCAGCTTCAACAGCTGCCAACAGCTCCAACAACGACAACCGTCCAACCATTCCTCTATTCCAACTGCTCCGTCGCCTCTACTCCAACTGCTCTATCGCCTCTACTCTAACTGCTCCGCCGTTATGTTCCCCAATTAACTGCTGCCACATCACCACAGCCACAATGTAGATTCCAGAAGAGATGAGGACGACCGCACACTTCATTGAAACTAAGGTGAGTCATCATCGTAGATCCGGTGACTCACCGAACAAACAGTGTTTTGAAGGCCTATAAAAGGCCATTTAACATGCAAATAAAAAAACAAGCAAGTGAACCAATTTACCACCAGCAGTAAAAAACCGAAAGGAAAAAGAATGAGAGAGCTTACCACGGTCATCGGAAAACCAAAATATCGAAGGTATAAATTTAGATCTAGAAAATTCTATGAGTTTCTAGGAAAAACAGAGGTCAGATTCGGCTTTAGGGTGGTATGATCTACGATTTGGGGATATTTTCATATTTTTCGACCATTGTGAATAGTGACCGACGACCAGAATAGTGACCGACGGTGGCCGACCGGTGGCTAAGTTTAGAGAGAAGTGAGAGATTCTCTCTCTTTAGAGAGAGAAGCAAAATGAGGAAATGAGGAATTTTGGTAATTTTAGGCTATTTAAGGTCTATTTATACTCTCCTTAAAACTACGTCGTTTTGGGGAGGGACTTCTGTGTAATTTCCATCTGGGAATAATCACGCGTGTAACCATCCTAGTTTTGTAACTTTCTATTTCAGTCACTAAAATCAACTTCTAATTATTTCAATTCGGCTTTATAGTTTTATTTAATTTATAATTTAGTCACTATTATTATACTTACATATTTATGGTAAATACTTTATTTAGTCCCTGGTATTTTTTTAAAATTTATTTTAACCCGAATAATTAATATTGAGGCTAAATTACACTGTTAGTACATATCTTTTTTAATAATTCAAATTAGGATCTTTAGGTTTTATATTTTATATATTTGTCACTGTTTTTTTATATAATTTTCATTTTGTCTATTAATTTATATATCTTATATTTTAATCCTATAGTTTTAGTTTTCTTTATTTTGTCATTGTTTTATTTATTTATATGTTTAATTGTAATTTAATTTATATTATTATCATTTCAATTTCAATATGTTTAAATTATTACTTTAATCATTACTGTTATTATTATTATTTAGTCATATTCATTTATTTATTTTATTTGTTTTTTTATTAAAATCCTATTTATAAATTTAATTTTATAATTTACTTTTAAAAAACAATATTTTAATATATATTTATTTTTCAATATTAAGAAAGGACAGTCTTAAAATAACTAGATGTCTATTTTCTGGTATTTTTAAATAAATAAATATTTTACTTTTATAAATTATATATATTAATCTATTTTTTTATTTTTAGATATATGTTTTATTAATATTTATTTATTTTTTAATACTAAGAAAAGAGCTGTCTTAAAGCACTTAGAAGTATTTTTCTGGTATTTATAAATAAATAAATAAATATCTTATTTATAAAAATAAAATTATTTTGAAATAACATGATTATAAATTAAATATATATTTGAATATTTAAATTTCTAATAATAGAGACAATTTATAATTAATAAGTACTAATTTTGGGCGTTGTGAGGGTGCTAATCCTTCCCCAAATGTAATCGACCACGAATCCCTTTTTATTATTAAAAAGAACGAATATTTGGTTAAAATGCAGACCAGTTTATCTTTTAACTTATGATTTCTTAAAAACTCTTTTAAAAGATAATTTTTAGTTATTCGAACTACCTATCCAAAAGGCCGATGGCGACTCCCAAAACATTTTTAAAAAAAATCATTTATTCACACATCACTTTTCCCGCCAAGTAAAAATTTCGTGTCTGGACGAAAATCGGTTACGACACTTCCTATTCAGAAGGGCCTTGTCCCAACAAAGTTTCTCTTTGGACTGCTTCGAACAGCCATGATTCTTCGAGCTAGCTCCTCCTGTATATCTAACATTGAGAAAAGGATTGGAATGCAGCTTGATCAAGCAACTCTGGAAGATCTCCTGATGCCTAACTTCTCTAATTATACAGAAACTCTATATGACGTTGACTGTGTGCATCGAATTCTTGAACTTTTTCTTTCCATGGACCAGATTACTGGTGGAGCCTCTCCGTATTCAGCTGATGATGGTCAGCTTACTGGCTCGCCTTAATTAACACCTGTTACAATGGTAGCCAAGCTAATCGATGGGTACCTTGCCGAGGTTGCCCCTGATGTTAATTTGAAGCTCCCCAAGTTTCAAGCTCTAGCTGCTTCTCTTCCAGACTGTGCAAGGCCGTTGCATGACGGTCTGTACCGTGCAGTAGACATATATCTCAAGGTACTGTCCTTAGTTTCAAACTTATATGCATGATGGATTACATGCAATAGACATTTATCGTTCAATCGCTGTAATTTTGGTTCAAACATGTTAACTTTCCTATGCTAACCAAACTTGCAGTCGCACCGGTGGTTGTCAGAATCCGAGAGAGAACAACTATGCCGGTTATGGACTGCCAGAAGCTCTCCTTGGAAGCATGCACCCATGCTGCACAGAATGAGAGACTGCCGCTAAGAATAGTTGTACAAATCCTGTTCTTTGAGCAGCTTCAGCTAAGGACTTCAATTGCCAGTTGCTTTTTGGTTTCTGATAATCTGGATGGATCACGACAGCTGAGAAGCGGGTTTGCAGGGCCTACCGAAGGAGGCTGGACTGAAGCTGCAAGGGAAAATCAGGTTCTGAAGGTAGGCATGGATCACATGAGAACACGGGTTTCTGAGCTTGAGAAAGAATGCTCGAACGTGAAGCAAGAAATCGAAAAGATAAGTTGGGTAAAGAGCTTCTCTAGGGGAAACGTCTCGAAGAAATTCGGATTCAAATTGAAGTCTCACATGTGCAGTGCTCAGGGGGGTTCCATTAGCAACCAGAAATCAAAAAGTGGAAAGATGGAGAAAGTAAAGGACCAGAAAGGAAAGCAAAAGAAAAACTCAACTCCAGTATCCAGATAGGAAAACCTACTGATTTTCTCCTGTCTTATTGTTTGTAGATTGGTACTTTAAACCTTGCTTTAGCATTTGATCTCACAGTAATGTATATGATTGAAGAAAGTGTAATTTAATTTGTTTCATGCAATAATCCTCTAACTTTGTGGGATCAAAGCGATACATTACAAATTGAGGAAGGGATGCCATTGTCTGGCTCTTCTAGGTTGTTGACTTGACTCGACTTTAATTGAAAAGTCACCATTATATATATATATATATATATATATATATATATATATATATATATGTTTTAAATTTCATTTTCTTCTTTTAAACGAGTTATCATTGAATATCGAAATTCAAATAAATTTTACAAATTAACTTTTTGCTTGGCATGCATGAAAATAAATAAAATATAACAGTTGAATGAATCAAATGATAATATGTGAGCAGAAGATGGAACTTGTGTTCGTTTAACGAAGAAAATGGAACATTTTGTAGAGCTAAAGCTAATTGGATTCTGAAAATATGAGCAGAAAATGAACATTTATGAAACAGAAATACTACGATAAGTGAACATGTCGAGAAGTACTGGATTTGAAAAGCTTCAACAGAGGGGAAATATCTTTTTGCAGAGTACCTTGAAGGAAAAGGTAGAGGAAACGTGATTACATGCATAACGGATTCATTAAATCCGGGAAGGTATCATAGGGATGTTGTTCTGCAGGTATGCGCAGGCGGCGGCAACACCGCTACCGAGCTTAACCGGATATCCGACATCTTTGAGTATCATCTCCACACCAGCTAGGCAACCCAACAGTTGCAACTGAAAATATATCAAGCAAATGGTGATTTTGGTAACAAAGCTTGTTTTAAGTAACCAAACAGGAAAAGGAGCACTACTTGAATATCATTGAGGATTTACCTCATTTAGATTTCCAAGATGTCCTATTCTGAATACTTTTCCGGCCACTTTGTTGAGGCCGAGACCTAAGCTCAAATTGTATCTCTTCCATGCCCTTTTAACGATTTCTGTACTATCGATATATGGTGGAACGAGGACGGCCGTCACGGTGTCACTGTGCCATTCCTCCTTTTGTGTGCAGTTCTTCAAGCCCCAAGCCTCCACAGCAAGCCTGTTTCAAGATTGTGCAACCAACGAAATCAATGACTATGGTGTTCCCAAATGAGTAAATAGATGTGTCCATGGCTCACCTTGTTGCTGTGCCCAAACGGCTATGCCTTGCAATCACATTGTCGAGTCCTTCCTCGAAGATAAGATCCAGAGCGGCTCTTAGCCCATACAGTAGTTGGATGGAAGGGGTGTATGGCCAATATGTTCCCAGTTTGTAGAACTTCAGATAGTCGGCCCAGTCAAAGAAAACTCGAACCGATTTCGCACTTTTGGATGCCTCTAGAGCTTTGGGGCTTGCACAAACAATACCGATTCCTGTGGGAAGAGAAAGTGCCTTCTGAGAGCCTGTTAGTGCGACGTCGACTCCCCATTCGTCCATACGGAAATCAAGGGCACAAATCGAGGAAACACCATCAACAAGAAGTAGTGCTGGGTGCCTATAGTGATCTGAGAAGAAACAGAAAGTATGAGAACCATGTTTGAAAGTTAAATTTGAACTTAATATACACTTACCAAGCAGCTTCCTCACTGTAGCCAGGTTGTTGGTGACACCAGTTGCAGTCTCATTGTGAACAATGCAAATGGCCTTGATTGTGTGGGAATGATCAGCTGCAAGTTTTTCAGCCAGAATGTCAAGGTTGGCACCTTGACCCCACTCGCTTTCAACCACGTCGACGTTGAACTTGAGGCGTTGCTGTTGATCGATCCACAGCAGACTGAACTGGCCGATAAGGAAAGACACAATTCGATCCCCAGGGGACAGGGTATTAGTAAGTGCACTCTCCCATGCACCGGTTCCTGAATTCAAACACCGATATTATCATCGGAAGCTAATCCGAAACAAGTAAGATACCACTATTAACAACGTAGCACGTATGTGAGTAATCTTAAGTATGGATGACTGAAAACTTAGCACAATTAAAGCAATGAATATACCCGTGGTTGGGAACAAAAACGGAGTTCCAGTGGTAGTCTTGAAAATCTTCTTGACATCTTCAAGAAGAGTTTTTGTCATTGCAGGAATGGCAGGGGAACGGTAATCCTCATTGTTCCGGTTCATGGCCCGAATAACCGGTTCCGGAATGTTAACCGGCCCTGGAACAAAGAGATGGTTCTTTCCTGGTCCATACACATAGTCCATCTTTTCTCCCTCCTAGAGATAATCACAGACAACTTGAATTTCAACTCTCTCTCAGTATAGAAAATCAAAATAAACCCTTTCTTTTGTTTCTTATCATAAATCTAAATATATACTTTTCTGATCAATCATAAATTCTGAAACTTAAACAAAAGTGTAAAGTGGCATACCTTTGGAAGAGAAGCTCACAGACGAAATTGGATGAAGAAGGATTGTTGCAGGCTGTTAATTGTGCCTTGGAAATATATATATGGTTGTGGTGTTTTTTATAAGAGAGCGGGAGAATCACTCAACATAAACGCGGGTCCTAAGTGGATCAAATTTGGCAGATAAGAGCGAATTCATCTATTCTTTGTTTTGTTTTTTTATAGCTTTTTTTTTCTTTCATCTAAGGTCCTCTCCTTTTGGTGAACTTCCTTCCAACTCCATAGACCTCAATCTTTATCATGTAAGGTGAGAAATGAATACCCAGTCATATCGATATGTATCCGATACTCATCTTAAATCCGAATATCATCGTTTATAAGGACACGAACGGGACGAATGACTCGAATGAAATCGAGGGCCTAAGTGAGAAAATTGTAAAAGGAGGGTGTTCGTGTGAGCATGATGCACAAAATTTAAGGACCGAATACGTGAAAGGAGATTATGAGGTTGAGAAGGCAATGCAAAGAGATAAAGTGATAAAGTGGTGTCAACCACAGCCTTATCTGTCGCAACCAATGCTACAGATTTCACTTGTTCGATTTGGTTCATGTCTAGGGATAAAAAAGAGTTGGATTTGTTCTTTTATCCCCTGATTTTCTGAGGCTGTCTATCGAACTTGTCACATGCATGCTTAATGTTTTATCCGAAGGATGGACGCATGATTTTACTTTAAGGAATGAATTTAAATTTTAAAGGCGAACTTAAATTCTGGTGAAAATAAATTTTTAATAAAAAATACATTAAAAATTTAAAATATATGATAATTTTAAATTTTCAGAGAAGAGATACTTCACTCGTATCTCTTTTATGTATCGTTGTTTTGACTTGAAACTTTCTAGCCACACAACACAAATACCAAAACAATATAAAAGTGATATTTTTACTGTTCCTTCTGCAGATGGTGAGTTTCTATTTCCAATTGAATTTATGATGCCTTTTCCCCCTGCCATTCTCGTGCAATATACTTAAAACTAAAATTAGGGTTATAAATGAGACAAGACAGATCACGACTTATTCGAGATCGATTCGATTAAGGCTCGATAAATATTCGGGTCAAATGGACTCAACTCGAACTCGAGCTCGACTCGAGTTCTTAACGAGCCGAAATGAGCTACTCGATATTCGACTCGAAAAGCTTGTGAGCAGCTTGAAAATATAATATATTAAGATTTTTTTTTTAAAAAAATATTAATAATATTAATATTTATGTATTGATTTTTCAAAAAAAATATATAGTAAGATTTCATGTATTTAAGGTTCATGTTCGAGTTCGAGGTTTTATTCTAATTAAGTTTAAGAATTTTTTTTCATTTCGAGCCTTTTCGAGCTGCTCACGAGCTTCAGTTCAGGATTTCGAGTTGAGTCGAGCTTGAAAATTTTAAGCTCTCGAGTTTTTGAGTCAAGTCGAACTCCATTTCAGAGTTTTCAAGTCGGTCGAGCTCAGCAACACTCGAGCTCGACTCTGCACGTTTACACTCCTAACCGAAACAAAAAACAAGGGTTGAAAGGCCTGCTCGTTTTGCTTTCTTGTTGGGCCTGCCATTCTACATTGATACAAGTTCCATCCTCTCTTGGGGTTTTTTTGGCCCAATAGGGAAAAACCAAATAAAAATTAGCCCAATAAGACATGCAAAAGTTTATTTTAAGATCTACTGCAGATGATAATTTCTAATAAAAATATTTTTATTCAAACTTTTTATCCCGATATAATAAGATTTAATAAAAAATTATACGTTATTAAAACTCATTACATCAACGCGACGAGTTTAAATAAAAAATATTTTTTACCCTGAATACTATTGAAAATATTGTAGATCTCAAATAAAAGTGTTTGTGCTTTACTTTGTCAAATTTTTTTTGGGTTGCCCTATTGGGCCAAAAAACCTCTTCTCCTTTCATGAACTTCATAATTTGGTTGTTTCATTTAAATTAAAGACTTATATAACAAATAAGTACCTAGAGTATACTATCTTTTTTATTTAAGTATCTAAAGTATTCTTTTTTATCAAAATAAGTACCTAAATTTATCTTTTTGGTCAAAATATGTCCTTATAATATTCAATTTTTATCTAAGTACCTTAAGTATTCTTTAATTAATGTCACGTGTCAATTTTATTAGAACTTAGATGAAAAAGTTTGAATAGTTTATGTACCTATTTTGACATAAAATAATGTAGGTACCTAATTTAACCAAAAAGATAACTTTGAGTACTTATTTTGATCAAAAATACTTTAGGCACTTGAATGAAAGTGGGTATACTTCAAATATTTATTTGTGATATAAGCCGAAAATAAACTTTGAAAAATAATTTTTTATAAAATAAAATATGTTTTTTTAAAATAAGTTTTCTGAATTATCTGTTTTGATGTTTAAATCATATTTTGTGATTATTTTTGTCATTTGATAATTTTTATAAATTATTTATTATAAATATTAAATATAATAAAAATAGCATTTATTTTGAAAAAAATATAATTTATTAATTTAAAAATAATATTTTCCCTCATTTTTTTGTTTGGCCTATCAAATACTTGAAAAAAAATTATTAACTTACTCACACTAATGGAAGTTATTTTTCTCTCAATCTTTTATCTTTAACATGTCTGACAAAGCTTTTGAAATACTCTAGAAAAGTGATGTTAAAATGTACTTTTAAATAAAATTATA